TAATTAATGCGCGTTTCTAAAAATCATCTTTAAATCAAGAAAAATCTTTTTCAACAAAACCTCTCAGAGCGTAAAAGCTATTGCAAGCAGCAAACCTTTGGCTATGCAATACTTACTTTCGCGTAATTGTAGCCAGCGTGACAAAGATTATCTAGCCAAAATATTGCCGAAAAATTCTTTTAAAAAGCTTCAGTTTAAGGGTCTTACGTTATTCTCAAATGTACTAAGGCACGAAATTTGCATATTTTATGGCAAACAGTGAATCCAGTTTTGCCGGCATTCTGAAGGAGGAAAAAAATGCCTTTTTAAAATTTTCTAAGTTCTCCGCCAAAAAATGGAAAAATCCTGCCGTTTTTCCATCATCGGTTGTACGAAGTCCACCCTAGTCATATAGAGCGAAAGTCCTGCCGTCGTTTTTCTTCTAAAATTTGTTTTTATTCGGCATGGAATGGTCAACGATTAACCAAAACTTTTGGCTTAAAAATGCTCAAAATCTACTTAGTAAGTATTTTGTAGCACAAAGCTTCTTAATTGTTATGCAATTTTTTCGAAACAAATCTGGCCGTTTTTTATGGATCTGATGCAAGAAAAATGAAGAGAAAGAATTCAAGTTTTAATCCCTAATCTTTAAAAGGATGGAACTCAGACTTGAACGAAGACTCGTTTTGATTCGCCAATCTTAAGAAACTAGCAGGTGCGTGTTTTCTGGTTCAACGAGTTTCTGAATTCCAAAAAGTGCTTGGAAGAGGAGGTAAGAAAATGTGCATTAATTGGAGACCCTAATACACATAAAACAGAATCAGCTTCAAAATCGAACGCGAAAGCGGACATAAATAATTCCAAAATTCCAGTTTTATATTCACGGTCATCTACAGATAATCACGAATAGTTGAATTCCTGCAAACCAAAACAAGAAATGCAGAAGACAGCAGATGCATTTATGGCGAGTTTAGCCAGCCTACTGCTCATAGAATTCGATTATAGGTGGGCGATGTATTCAGTTTACTGAGGCTCGGAACAAATCCAGTTCGAAAAAACGACCTATGTCACAATGCAGTTATTATGTTGCCCCAAAAGTAAACTCTATTTCCAAATAAATTGAGCTGTTTCTATTTTCCTAGAGACTTAGGGTACCATTCGGTAGAGCGGGGCAAGCTCTATGTACGAAAAGAGCACCAAGGTCCACCTGAATCGTAATCCAGGCAAAACTTGGAACCAAAAGTCAAAAATTTTCCAGCTCCCTAAAAATCGGATCTTCATCCAACTTGGTCATCGTAGAAACAAGGCAATAGACAAGACAACTGACACATAGACATAGTGGTACCCAAAAATGCATTTGGCGGATTTTTTTTCGGGGCCAAAATTGAGAAAAAAAGATGGTCCAAAAATGCCAAAAAGCCACTTTTTTCGGTTTTTTTTTGTATAACTTCATATTTCCCCATCATAGGGGCACATACAGGGTTAAAATTTTCAATTACACTTAGTGAGGCTTGTAGTATACATATGTGGAAGGGGCCAGATTTGCCATTTTTGGACTATCTTTTTTTTTCGCTTTCTATGCGCAGAAAAAATCTAGCAAAGGCAAATTTGAGCACTACTATGTGCCTAGTATGTAATGACCAAGTTGGAGATCCGAAGGATTTTTTCCTTACAGAAGTGCAATTTTCAGTTGACAAGATTTTTTTCAATTTTTCTTTCAAACTTTACATGGATGTGAATTAGGAGGACCCTTGGCGCTCATTCTGTAGAGCTTGATCTGCTCTATGGAATGGTACCCTAAGTCTATTGGGAAAGCAAAAACAGTTGAATTATCTAAAAAAGGATTCTACTCCCGGATTCTATTCTTGGGACAACCCAATATTTTACTCAAGAAATATTTTGTAAGAGATATCAGAGTTAAGCAGCCTACTAAAAACCAAAAAAACACTTTGAAGATTTTAAAAAAGGATTCTAATCCTGGGACAACCTAATATTTTACTCAACATACATTTTGTAAGATATATTAGAGTTGAGCTGTGGAACATGCGGAATGTATGGAAGTGTTCAAGGTAGATGAGAAGGAAGTTCCTCAATGAGCTCGTTACCGGGTAATGGGTTTGAAAAAACAAAAATGAGGATGAGTTGAAATTATCAAGTTAAGCTTTTTTTGGAGCTATAACTAGATAATGTGATTAGAAAAAACGCAAGATTAGCCTTACAATTGCGCCCACTTAATAGACCACAGCTGACATGCAAAAGCTCGAAATTTTTGAGATTCCAGGATTTACGATTGTTATAACAATATGATTTATTTGAATGCACTTGTCAAATAAAATGATCAACGACCGAGATTTTCTCAGTTTGCAGCCTTGGTTTTTACGAGACTTTAGATTTCACAGAGTTCTTGACAGCTTTCTAGAACGTTATTTGTTTGCTCATTTGGATAAATACAGGGTGATTCAAAAAAGGTGCCTACTGTTTAATTGTCAATAGCTGTGTTTTCATAGATTCTTTCAAGAAGCTCTGGAGCAATTTGTAGAGCCGCTTCAGCGTAGAATTTTATAGAATTTTATTATAGAGTGAATCAACGCTCGCTCTTCATTACTGTAGGATTACGGTAGGAACTTTTAGGTTACAGCGACACTATGGATTACCTCTGTTTCGAGAAAAAATTTCAAAAATCTGAAAAGTTGTGTTCCAGGAGATTTATGCGCGCTGATTTCGTTACTCAAGTTTTTAGGGGTTTTCAAAGGTGGTTCTGAAACCATATAATTACAAACTTAGAGAGCATTATACGGAAAAGCGCTAAGTTTATATTCTCAGCGTCTCTGGGATTAACCTAGTGTCAGAGTTTTTTAGGTTGTCTTGCTTTCTGAACCGAAATAAGGCCCTTAACGTCCGGAAAACCTTTTCGGAATCACTACAGTAATCCTACAGTAATGAGCGAGGTGACTCGCTCCGTACTATAAATCTAAGTTGAAGCCAACTCTACAAAGTGGTCCTCAGGCTTCTTAGAAGACTTCATGAAAAAAGTCATCCATAGGCACATTTTTACCTTGCACTGTTTACTGGTGCGATGTGAAGGGCACAATATAATAGACCAAACTTTAAAACAATTGAAAATTTGGCGAACTCAAAAAAATTAGGAATTTCAGAGCCAACCTTCCATTTGCAAAAATACTGATAAGCAGCAACCCGAAGAATTGAAGGTGCTCTGAGTCAAAATAAAGGAAAAGAAAGGATTATGTCTAGCTTGCACAGTTGAGGAGAAAAGGGATGCGAGTAAAAAGGGACACAATTTTTAAAAAACGAAAAGAAGTTCTTGAAGTAATGTCGAAACCCCTAACTTACACTCACTTATTTTTCGAAATTGGAAGTGTGCGTTTGTTCACGTATGTTGGAACTTATAATCATCAACAACGATTCGAAACATCTGTGTTTTTTGGGTTTGCTTCTGTCTCTCAAAAGTAAACCAGATTTTAGACATTTCTATTGTTTGAGCTGACCATGATTGTTATAATCTCTACTAGATAGATGACTTTGCGGTTTTCTGCCTCCATCAGGGCCTGGCAGTATGAAGCGAAGGAAGCAAAAACAGTGGCCTAATAATGGCCAAATCCGAATTTTGCTTGAGCAATCACCTTTGAAGTTCTCGCTCAAATTTTTGTTTCATTTTTTTCCGCGCAATCAAGTATATGTAGCTCTAACCAAAATAAAGTCTAAAAGAACAGCACCATTTATTCTCAGATAAATCCTCAAGTGAACTGTCCTAATGTCAGGTGAAATCATCTTCCTATAAAAAGAAATATTTTGAACCTGCGAAAATCCAATTCTTATGGCTACATTTCTATAATGCATGAGGGTCCATTGAACACGAGAAGAAAGCGCAGGTTTATTTAATTATTTATTCATTTATTTATTTATTTATTAAATACATCGTAAACGATGCACCACCTCAAAAATCTTATCTATCTATTTATTTATTATTTTTTATCTATCTTATCTATTTTATCTTGAGGATAATAATGTGTTTTGGAAGCGAAAAGTGGAAACGATACAGGAACAACATAAACCAAAGTTGTTCCCCCAGCTGAAAGAGAAGTTCAATTTAGAAAAGCACCTACACCCGGCTCTTGACATGAAAAAATGAGATACAAAAAGAAGAGATTTTTTCGTGTGCAGGCCAGCCTATGTGCTAGCGAAATTTGTAATGCATTGAGGACATTTTGTGCTTGTTTGTGGTACCATAGAGGACGCCAGAAAAGTTCATTTGTACTGTTTTGTACCCCGTTGGTGTTCGCAGCAGTATCGGGTTTCATTCCCATGCACTGCTCTAGTTAGGACAAATTTTCTCGCAATAGGGTACGCAGGAAGTACAGAAAAAAACATTTGACCAACGGTATTTTTTTTTTGAAAGCAAGGGAAGGAGGACTGAAGAAGGGGTTTGTTCCTTGATCGGCTCTTCTTTGGTCCTTACCTTTATATCGCAGTCTTGTCACATATGGAAGCTTGGCTCTGTTGAATTTACAACCCCAAAAATTTTCATGAATTAAGGTGACTTTCTATAATAAAAGGTTTACTCAATCTAGCTCAGTCCAAATCGCTTGCAGATCCCAAAAATATCTGCTCTGCGAGAAGTTTTGACCAAATCCGGCGAATCCCCCTAATCCCGCAAACTCCGCAAGTCTCGCGAATCACGCAAATCTCGCGAGTTCCGCAAATCCCGCAAAAGTCGGCAAATTCTCTTGATGTAGGCTTACAGTCAAGCTTACAGCTTTATCCAAGTGTACAGACAATAAATATCAAAAAAATGTACATGTACATAAGCTCATTGACTAGAAGCGGATAATATATATACCAGTAATCCATTTGAACGATACTTATTGAATTGCTTCATAGAAGAAATATATTCTGCAAATGCACAGTGACGCACTGAAGACGGAAAAATGGAAGTTTTCACAGGAAAAAGGCAATTTTGAAAGCTCCGTGTTCCTAATTATCAATATTATAAACAATATGTTTGGGAGAGGTCTTCCATAGGAATCAATAAATCAATAAAACATATGTTATGAGTCGGATATCTTCCTGGACTTCAAGAAGCGGCTGTGATCTGACTGATTGTCATCTCCTCTTCGATTGATGCCATCGGAGCAGCTGGCTTTTCGCAAGGACTGGAGTGGAATTATTTTGAAAATATCCAAGGTGGAAATTCTGGAACCTACGTCATGTCATTATCGACCACCTTCGACGGGGCCAACGTAGCCACTCCATTTTTGTCAATTTTTGCCGGATTGACTCCATTTGAGTCTTGATACATTAAGATAAGGCTTTCGAGATTGGGCACCTGTACTGATTACAGTAAGACTTGATCTAGATCACTGGGTAGAGCACGGGGTACGGTACCTGCTGAGCATGAACGCTGCTGATTAGGGTTTCAATGGATTCTCGTCTGCTAGCATTGAATAACAGCTCATCGGAAGAGCTGAAAATCATATTTTGAAAAAAAAATTAGAAAGGTATACACACCATGGCTTCCAACAAATGGTTGCTTATCTTTTTATATATATGTAAAATTTCACTTAGATACTTAGAGCTCGATTATACATGAAACTAAGTTAATTTTTCTATAAGGATAATCTCAAAAGATAAGCGGATAGGCACCTTAATTATTTTTCTTGTTATAACCTCGTTCATTGTGAGCATGAATAAATGTAGTCAATAAATAGTAAATAAATAAATAGATATCACCACTGACCCATCAAGAAGCTTTTTGGTTTCACCGTCCAGTGATATAGGAGTTCGTACTGGGCTACTCCACGATGAATCGTCCGCATCTGAGGAGTCTGATACCGAGTCCAAAATCCGTACAGACCTGAAAAGCACAATTTCAACATTTTTACCTCTTAGAAGGTATGTCCAGGTAAATCTGGGTAGATTTCATATGTGAATACAGATGAAAAATAACTAAGTAAGCTCCATTGCCAGGCAGCTCATGAAAATTCACCCGCAGCCGAAAATGACTTCAGACTCATGCCCAGTACCGTAATGAGATGTTCATCCGCACAGATAAGGTACGGCGTTGGGTAAAAACATAAAGTTGAAAGCCTCGGCCAGAATTAAAGCATACAAGCTGCCGCTTGAACAATAGCTTAACCAAAGGCTTCTAATCACTTTTCACAAAGAAACTCAAGTGTCCGTGTTTTATCTGAACAGGGCTTCTGGGTCATAAAAAATTTGCTTACCTGGCCACGATCGGACTGATCAATTTCTGGCTATTCTTGATCAGCAATGAATCAGTAGCTCGCAGCAGCTTCTTCGAAACATCAGAATTTCGTCGCGATGACGGTGGGGAGCTGCACGGTAGAATATGATGCGAGATATGTTGAATTATAAAGTATTCACTTTTCTGGCACTGCAGCTCCATCCTCTTTCTTTTCATTTTGTGGTTCAGCAAAGGAGTTAGCAAGCTCATATGGGGGTGGTTCAGAAGTGAGGTCGAGACTCTGGAAGAAGGAAGGAGTTACAATTGCTGATGACACAAATAAATCAGAAAGTGGTGGTAAAATTTGATGCTGCACGGGATTAAAATAAGTTTCTATCAAAAAAATTTTCAAAAAATTAATTGAAAATTACATCCTTGGAACTGAGAATGATAATCAGATCCTAGTAAAGAATGAATTTACCTGCTCATTTGAAGAAATTTCGCTAGAATAATTCCATCCGCTGGGTATAACCATATGAACGGCTGTGTAAGGTGGTGCTAAAAAATTCAAGTATAGGCAGTTGGTTATTACAGTGAATTAAAAACTTTTACATAAATTTCTATTTGTTTATTTATTCACTCATTGTTATTGGGGAAAAGAACAGAAATCTTTTTTCAGATTTTTTTCAGCAAAAATTGTTATTTCTTTGAAAAGGCATTTCCAAAGCGAGATCTGATCCAAACTCCGAAGGTTTATAGGTAAAACTGCATATATGGGAGGAACCCACGACTGCTGGAGTGAAGTTTGCCATTGTTTTTCAGTTTTTCTTCAGTTTTCTAACTATGAACAAAATATAGCAAGTGCACATGCTCCATGCAAAAACAACTGAGAAATTCGTAGGATTTTTTAAGGCAAAGTTAGAGCTTACGTTTCATCAAATGGTACCCATCATATACTTTTTTTAAAATTGTTTAGTTTTTTGCCTGCTACAAAAAAAGGACATTCTTTTCTTTTCAGCCCGATATTATTCATTTCGTTTTCATTTCTAGATTTTGCTCCCCGAACGGTGCTCTAGCACATATTTTGCTGACTTGCACAATTTGCAAAATGTGTGGCTAACGACGTTTTTGGAAGATACGGGTTCGTCTCCAAGGGATCCTAATTTGATCTGGAAAAACGTAGGAGACTTTAAATGGGCATTGTGGAATCACTATATTCCCTCGTCATTCAGAAATTTCTAGGTGTTTGCTCCCAAGCCTAGCGCACAAGCTTTATTTCCAAGATGACCGCTCCTCCCCAGAAATTACAAAAAAAAAGTGGAAAAAATGCTCACGGTTTCTAGGTGGTTGGATTTCAGGCGGAGGTGAATCATCAACTTTGCAGACTAGTTGACGATTGTAGTGGACAAGCTGATATCCGCAAATATACACAACGAGATCATCGATGTCGTCTTTGTCCACCAAAAATTCGAGACCCTAAAAACGCAAATAAAAAACGTCCCTCAAAAACTGGAAGGTACGGGGTGGGTTACCTGTTCAGGATTGCTTTTCAAGCGAATACTGATAAGTGAAGCAATTTCTGAATCCCTCTTTACTACCAAACGGTCGATTAAGTCATAATCTATTGAAATCGTAGGTCGTCCACCTTTTCCCGGATGCCGCACGAGAAGTCCGGCTCGGGGGTCAATCTGGAAATGAATATCAAGATTTTTAAAAAAATCTTCTAAGGCGTTCGAACTCACCTGCATGATCATATCAATTTGACTTTCTTTAAACGTAACTGAAAATCCTCGTCCACCAAATGTGGGAAGATGAGCAAGCAAATCCAAGTAGCGCACTCGCAATGACACCGAAGTGTCACTTACCCGCATCAGTAGTAGGGCTGGAACAAAATTCCAATATTTTGAGCTTAAAAAATATGGAAATATCATGGGAACTTACATTGTTGCTTGAGCCCATTATTTGTTTCCTTAGCAAGACTTTCACTCAATTTTGCACTGTCTCGTTTCAAATAGTAGCGAATATGTTTGCGAATTTCTCGCCGCTTCACATTTTCAAGCAAAATCGAAGGAAGGAAGGAGCTGAGACCGTATTCTGATCTGAAATATAAAAAAAATCAATTGCTTATAAGCATGATTTTTTGCATTTGAAATTTTGCTGAGACTTAGTTGAGAAGTTTTTGCTAGTTGAGAAACTTTTTACATCCGAGCCATCTCGTAAATGTGCAAGTGCACACAATACCCACAATGCGCACAAATTCTAAATCCGTGACGGTTCTTTACATCTCTGTCCTTTCCAAGCATCAACTGGAAGCTTTGTTGGAAGCTTTTATATAAAAATGTGCAAGACGGCAACAAAATTCAAGATTTTACGCGCAATATATGCGGTGTGTGCATTCGCACACCTGCTCTAGAAATTAACATGATTATGAGGGTAGCAAAATTTATATTTGATGTGTACCAAATCTTCACAGGGCCTATTGTACTTTGATTACTTCCTGGAACTATATTATCTGTTCTTTTTCTGATAGAAATCAAAATATCACGACACTATGTGTGGCGTGTGCATTCGCACACAGACTTCAAAATTGTACGGCTATGCGTCGAAAAAATTATTTTTGATGAGCAGCAATTTTTCGCAAGGTCTTCTGTTTACTGAGTTTCTCTTGCGATTAAGTCTCTTCTACTGTTTACTGAGTTTTTCCTAGGACTAAGTCTCTGTCTTTTTTTGACGAAGATTTTTTCGCGTGAAATGAGCTAATTCTTATTGCTTTCTAACTATCCTTTACTCCCTTACCTCCACCCCCTCTCCCTCCCCTCACTTTTGTCACTCCTCTAATCTTTTTATTTTGACCACCAGGTTTTTTGTTTACCCTAAAGAAGTGCACAACAACCCACTCCAATCTGGACAACGACACCGCATTGTTCTCTTTGAGCAGATGCGATTCGACGGCCACTTGCTGCATGTGTAGTGCTGCTAACCGGATACAGGCCTCGTATCTGAAGCATTTCAACGTAATCCAGCTTGCCATAGGCTCAATTTCAGCTTTGTCCTCCACGGAAATAGCTTTTCCAGTCAGGACACAAGCACCACTTGACCGACCTCATTTCGAAGGCGTACCGCCCTCGAACGACGTCAGCCGTGCATTGTTGGTAGTAGTAATCCAATGCTCGAGGGTCCTCCAACCAAAGCGATTCCATGTCCTTCGGAATGAAGGCAAATCGAAACACACAGCGAATGTGCTCCGAGTTCGGCATGCTTACTATCTGAAAAGAAAAAGCCTAATTAGCGATTTTTCAAATCGAACTCGATCTCTGTCTAGAATCAAAATGGAAGTTAAGGTTTCATTTTTTGGTTTTGTAATGTTTTCTTTAAATTTTCGATAACATCAGTTAGAAAAAATCATGAATAGTCTGATGACAATTGATAAATCAACGGTATTGGAGCTTCCGTAATAGAAAAAACTATTTTCAAGTTAGAATTTCGCAATAAAAAGAGAAGTGCTTTGGTTTTTATTTCAAAGTAAACTTCTACGAGTCCCACTTCCGGCCGTTAGATATCAGTCTTTGATACTGAATGAATTCTCTCTAATTTTCCCGAGTGAGCATCAGCAGTTTCAAAATGCAAAACCAAAATCCTTACAAATTTTTGTAGACACAACAATCGGGGATTTCTTTTTGAATAGTGGTTGAATCATAACTTATTTGAATATAGAAACTGCTCTAACAAATCTATAAATTTAAAACTACGAAAATTTTCGTCTCAAATGCAGACTGAACCCTTGAAAATGCTGTGAACCTCCTACTTCAGAATTGTTTTGAAAGTTTCTGCATTGCTTTTGAGTATGAAAAGAATGCGGGGAATATATAAACATCAAGGAAATATCTTAAATATCTTTGTAAGGTAGCAATACAAAGATTTGATTTCCAAGTTTCATAAAATCCAGTGGTTTTGCAGAAATAAACTTACATCTACAATTTTTGTCTCGGGTCTCAATAAACTGATCCTACTTGATCTAGCACCTAGGGAATATTCGACGGCTAAGGCGAAGTATGACTTCGCCCGTAATTGCAGCTTGGAGAAGATGGAGTTCAAAATATCCTAAAACACTTTCATATTTGCTGTTTGTTCAAAAAATCAAAAAAATCTTGAAACTTACCCTAACAGTGGTAGCATCATCATATTTGAAGGACCTCGTCTGACCATTCTCCAAGTAAACCCGCAACGCATTCGGCAATGGAGGGGGAAAATCGGTTGTCTAAGTTTATGGTCCTCAGAAACAAGACTGCCAAAAAAAATCAAAAATATTGTAAAAACTTACAGCATCGGGTACGTTTGCAACCAGAACTCTATCTGTAAATCGGACCCGACAGCTTCTCCTAGCCGATCGCTAAAAGATTGAAAATTGATAAGCATCTGAGAGATCAAAGGTGAAAGAAGCAGAACATGGGAGTTAGCAGTGTTTGCCAAGGAAATCAACACAAGTGCTCAAACTTTTCCCAAAGAATTGGTTTGGTTACTTAGTCTTGGTAAAGTAAACTAAACCTCTTCAACCTCTCTTTCCCATGTGACAGACCCACATAAAAACATAAGTGCATAATCTATGGCTCTAAGGTAACGAACCGGTCGAGCAGGAAGCTGTTCTACAGTAAGTTCAAGTTCATCGCCAGCTGATCGAACCATGGTAACTACAGTATCCTTGGTCTCTTGCCGGACATCCACACCATTTACGGCTAGGATTTGATCGTTGGCATAGAGCAGACCATCGGAAGGGCCCTCTTAAGGAGAAAAATCACAAATACAGATAAATGAAGAAGAGCAGTGAAAAATGAGTTGCCGAGTAAAAAGTAGTTAACACGTTTCGGACCGGTGCTGCACATGGTGCAGCACGCTGCTTTAGAGGATCTTTCTGGCGCTCACAGGAGGTTTCCTTTTAGTCCAAAGTTGTTAGGGCAAAGGTCTAAGCTCCTACTTTTCAAATGATTCTGTAGAGCTGTGCCGCGCATATTTGTTTAGGAGATATGAGGACAAATCGAACAACAGTTGCAACGAAGTGCGGCAACGCGACCGACGCGTGCGACGTCGCAACTTTTCTTTGCTTTGATTTCAAAGAGAAAAACCCTAGTTTCAATAATGATGTGTATCGTGTACAACAAAGATACTTTTGAATACTATTTGAAACTAAGTTCTCACTCCTGTCTTTCAAGAAAGCACAAGAGTCCCTCTCAAGCGACAAAATTCAAACACTTCGAATTCACTCAGAACTTTGAGTATGGAGCTTATCTGACATGCTGATTACAGATGTGGCCCGCAGGCTGCGAAATAAGGTCCCTTTATAGGCTATCGGCTGAAAGTACGCTCTTTTTCGCCGCGCGATTTCGCGGTCCGAAACGTGTTAAGCTGACAAATTATCCTCAGCTGATAAAGAATGAGCTCACCTGCTGAAACAAATTGAATGACAGTTGGATGTTGGCCAGCTGCAACGAAACCGAAACCGATTTCCGGATGTTTTCGTAATTTCACAGTCCGTTGCCCTTCAGGAGCCGCAGCTTCTCGGGGATCCGAATACGTGGTTGTTCGATTGATATGACTGAATTTGAAAGAAATAACACTTAAGCATCTACAACACAAATCATCGAGGAAAGTACCATTTTATGGGAAAAAATAATTTTCGGAAAAGCTGAGATTTTCTGGGAGAAATTTTTACGGCGAAATTGTTTGCAAAATTTCTCTTCAAAATTATTCTCTTGGGGGCGCAACAATGTCGCTTTTTGTAAATATTTGAATACTATTGAAAACAGAAACTTTTCAGTATTTTTCGTTATTTGATACTTACAATTTTGTCACAAAGGACTGTTTATTTTTGAATTCTTGAATAAACGGGCTTGAAAACCCTTAGCGCAAGAAATCGTCCGCAGCAGATTTTCTAAATATTGGTATGAAAACAGGCATGCAAAAAGATAATTTTTGGCGTTCGAATTTGCTGAAAACTTTTGGAAGTGAAAAAAATTCCCGTTGCACGCGTTGTTCAAATAAAAAATTTTTTCTCCGGATTTGTTGATGCCTTTTAGCAAAAAATACGGGCAGAAATCTTGCAAACACGCAATTTGGTTTTTTTTTTCTTATGCAGATTCATGTGCGAAATTATTGGAAAGAAATTAAATTTTCAGTTTTGGTAGGAAAAAGTCGTAGTGGGCAGTCAATAAGTGACAAGATACTTTTTCAAAAGAGAACTTACTCTATGTAATAAATATTTCCTGAATCGTCTTTGGCCTGTTCCCAACCATATGGTAATCCTAAGCGACATTTCCACGATGCCCAAGGCGGTTCCCAATGAGAAGTTCGGGTTGTGTGACTAGAAAAGAATAGTGAGTAATCGGAACAGCCTTGACTCTATTCGCTTTCGTCAACTTTTTCTTAAACTTATTTTGAGACCTACTAAAAAATACTTTTTCATCAATTCAACTGCAATTAGTGGAACTCTGAACTTCAATTTTTAAACCTACATCAGCGCTCTAATTTCGTCGACACTGCCAGAACAACTGATTCGTTGTGTCTGTGAACATGGAAAGTTGAGACTGCGTGATTTGATCATCTGTAGAGAAAGCACGCATGAGGAAAGTAGAATTTATGCCTTTTTGGGGCAGAAAAGTAAAATTTCCGACAATCAAATGTGATGAACGGGATGTGAATGGAAAAAGCGTAAAATTTACGGAGTTCTAGATGAAGATGATGAAGTTCTTAGAACCCAGAGAAACATCGCCAGAAATGGAAGAAGGAAGACCAGTCGAGCAAGTCTTCAACTTGATGTACTCAAACAAAAGTCAAAAGTGCATACAATCAAGTGGTAGGACTCTTCCATTTAGATTCGAATTGTATATTGCAGACTTGGGAAAGGTAAAAACTATGATTTATTTGCTCTGATGGAGCACAAGCCTAAATTTTGGCAGCTAAGAATAATATGGTATCGTTTGGGAGTCTCTCGATTACCCATTTAACCTCTTCTAGCAAGTTCCGGGTTCGAAGTTAGGTACTCTACTCCTTAAAGGGCAATTTATAAACCTAAGGTCATCTTCTGCCCTAATTATAAGGGCCAGGTTGTTTATCTACCTCCATTGTCCTTTTTTTGTGAAAAAAAGTCATACCTTATAGTCACCCGAGTATAACAAATGGCATAGAGAGATGATGCATGCTGATAATGACACATGAGTCAAAGGACAAAACAAGGTCTTGATCAGAAATCGAACTATGACATTCTTCGAGAAGTTGTCAGGCTACACGATCGTTGGAGTTGAAAGACTTGTGGAAATGGAGCTGCCAATGATAGATTTGTAGTTCAAAGCAATAATTCAAATGTCCTCGTAGGGCTTAATTTCGCTACAATTTCGCTTTTATAAACATTTCTCTGCCATTGCAGGAGTGAAAAAAGTGCATTCAAGTGGCATGTTTGTAATTCAAATGTTACCAAGGGGTTGAAAGATTTTTAGTAGATGAATTATGGAAACGTTTAATAAGTTGAAAATCTCTCTGGAAAATAGCTAAACAAAGGTAACAGCTGAATATAAAAATAGAGAAATCAAAGGATAGAAATGAAGCACAGAATCGCAAGCTATATCTTCGATGACAAAAAAGAATAACTCTTTATTAATTTCTACACGCTAGGAAAAAGAGTCACGCAGATTGAGAAAAACACTTAGGACATGATCATTTCTCGAAAAAGCGACAAAAAGTATAGCACTATAAAAGCAATATATCATTCAGGATCCAGTCTGACGCAACAAACGAGCGGAACTTTCCAAGAATTTGACCTTGGAATGATTAAACTCAGTTCTTTTTCCCAAAAGATTGTATGAGGGCCCTATGAGACCAACAGTATACTGTAACAATACTATAGACTATTTCTACACATCATTTTGACAGATAGTGAAACAACTAGGAGTGCTTTAAAGTGCTCAATCGTTCACCAGCAGGAAGTAAAACCAATTGATATCATTGCGAATAAACAGATGATAAGAGCGATCAAGATCAGTAGGGAAACATTTCCTAGTCAACAAGTGGTTTTTTATTTCATTAGTATTGGCAAGGTTTGCTTTCAGCTTATAAGATTTGATTAGTTGTATATGGAATTAGATCTCGAAAGCAGTCATATGAAATCCAAGAAAGGTATGAAACACTTCATGGTGGAACATCCTGTTCATTCACATAGTTTTGAAAATACTTTTATGAATTTTTAGATTAATTCATAAAAATCGGCAGACTACGTTTTTTCTAAGTGCTCCATGTGAAAATAAGGGGGTTAGGAATTAAAGAGTGATCCATTATATAGTTTGAGTAAATGCATGTAGGCATCCGGTCTCATAAATCTATTCATTATTTTCACAGATATTTACTCCCATGAGATAGATATCTGCTTTCACATGCTTGAGCAGCGAAAAACAAATCCTTTGGTCCGAAAATGAGGCTCGAAGAAGTTCAGAGACATTCATTAGAAATTATTGAGCTTTCTAGAAGCAATAAATTACTTTTCCAATGCACAAAAAACGCCTGCTAAAGCTCATAAAGATCCTGATGAGATAATAAACGATAAATGGGACAGTCTCCCATAGCCAACGATGAAAAACGTGTGTAAGTGGCGACCGAGTTAGTTGTAAAGTAGGTGATAAGAAGGATGAGAGCGCGTGTCTTGGCGGAAGCTTTGTCACGTGCTTAGCATTTAAGCGATTGAAGGAATTTTCTGAGATGTTAGTAATGACAAAAATTCTCCAAATTTCATGAGATTGTTCTGTTATGGAAAAGGTGTTCAGTAGCAATTTCTGGATAGTCAAAGAGATTGCTTGCTCCATACAAAAAAGCTACAAATAGTGTAAGGCTGGAACCAAAAGGGATTTTTCACAATTTTTCCACTTGGACTAAATTTTCATTATTTTTGCGGGAGATTAAACGTAAGCCTATTAATTTCCGTTGATAGCGATGATCTTTCATTATCCAACCAGTTGAGAAGAGCCTTGCCCTAGAAAATCTAACCAGAATAAAGACTCATAATAACAAAAATCACAGTACTCGACAGCTAAGCCTGAAAAAAGCCTGTTATTTGAAGATCTGAATTAAGAAATTTTTCCGCGATGCTTAGAAAATTCAAAAACCCATCAGACTGCTCATTCAATAATTTCGAAATGCATAGAAGAGTCCTTTCCTAATAAAAGTTGAAGAAGACGACTCTGAGACACGAAAGAAAAAAATTTGCAGCGTTGCCACAAAATTTTGCACGTCTCTACGTTCTTCAGCGCTAGTTTTACGCAAAATTCAAGGCTAATCTTCCAAACAAACTGGGTGAATATACAAGGGTCTAATGAAAAGTCTTGCTGTATTTTTGAGCTCGATCTTCGAAAATTTTGAAGCAGAAAAATACAAAATATTACATGTAGTTGATAATTTTTTGCACTAAAATAGAGCATCAAATTGAATTCACTGTCACAAGATCCACTTCAATACAGTAATCAACGAACCCCAAAACAATCAGAATTTGTGCGATTTTCCGTAACAGACACACACGACCTATGACTTAGGTAAAGAAGAACTAACTGCTTACCATAAGCCTTCGCTTTGTGCAATAACTGTTTGCCAACTTTTTTTTTCAGTTCACGATTTGCTTTACGTGACAGTTGGTCATGTTCTCTGGCCTGACAAATAGACAGTTGCTTCTCACAAAAGTTCCTCAAACCGCACAAAGAACTGAGCAAGGAGCTAGTACTGGGATGAGAACAACCATATAGTTGCCCAAAAGGTGTATTTAAGGGCATGAGTAGATAGCATAGTGTTTTGGGTAATTCGTCCAATAAATACTCGTAGACCAGGTAAGGACACTCAATCTGTATGCCTAATCTGATTGAGAGTACTTGAGTTTTGTGTAAACACCGGGTTACCAGAGAATTCGAAAATTATTTGACTCGCTTTGCTCTGATAAGCCAATGTTTATACAAAATTGAGGTACTCTCAATCAGATTAGACATATAGATTGAGTGTGCTTACTCGACAGAATACGTCTGGATATAAGAATCTCAAACCGATATCCTAGGATTATGAAGCTAGCCCTCCCACACCCAAAAGACATTTACCTTGATTATATTATATCTTTAGCTTAGCATGAGCTCCAGATTAGCTTTAAATCTTGAAAATCTTTCGAAAGCTGCTCTAAAGATAATCTTCTCCGCTTGAAAAGTATAGCTGTTTACTTGAGTCAAGCATTCATGATTATTCCTCCCGATGTCTAAAGATCTTTAAGCAGAAGGCCTTAGAGAAAAGAGCAGCCAAATAAACACTTTTCTGTAATTTCTTAGGGCTGATTGGCAATGCTGATGTAAAAGAATGAAACCCTATAATAGAGACTATCAAGACATATTCTTGTTCGCAAAATTAGGGTAAAGAAGGTGAGAGATTTGAAAAAAATGAAAATTTCTACAATAATAGAATTATGTTTGAATGACACTCAAATGAAGCAAGACGCCGAAAGAACATTATTTACTGAGGTCCAGAGAAAACACAAAAGATAAAAGGACCGGCTCGGCAGGTGCTTAATGAAGTGAAGTATGTAGATACCAGTCCATAGAATGGAAAGTATGATATAAGAACTTGTACCAGAAATTTGCGCATTCCCTTTTCGAAGATGAGGCTAATTCTTCGTTGAAAGTAAAAGGAAAAGGGACTGGAATGCAGCCTTTACTGGGGTGAAAATCATCTGAGAGATAAAATTTTAAACAATATATCTTCTTAATACTAGAGGGAGAAGGGTGGTAGTTGAGATACGTAATTAGGTCGTAATATAAGCTCTGTTGCACTCAAAGGAAAAAATGTTTATGACTTTCTCGAAGAACATTTTCTCGACTTCAAATTAAGTGAATGGTTGTAATTTTTCAACATATACATGTCACGTACAAAGAATCAAATTTCTGAATTTTTTTATATTTTTGAATCGTTTTCGGCAAATTTCCAACTTGCGTTATGAAAAGAACATAGACTACCAAACTGTCTTCATATTAGTACTAATGTCCCAGAATTCCATAAAAAATATCTGCGAGCTTGAAAAATAAGAATGAGAGAATTTTTGAAGGAAAAAGAAAAAAATGGAGATTTAAATGCCGTCACAAGTTTGCCTTTATTCTTAATGTAATCCATATCTCTAAAGATGGAAGTGATGCCAATAGTATTCCTTTGTCCATTGCTCATATACGCAAAATATTAGACTTTGCCAAAGTTTCCAGAGTTTTCTATAGTAAAATGAGAAAAGTGTCCCAAAACTTATGTTACAACTCTATTAACACAAAGAGAAAAGTAAGTTTTCAACGCATGAGAAATAAAAAGTGGTACATAAAACTGCAGGAAACTAAGAGTTCCAGATAATCAACTCCTAGGGATGCTTTTCTTCCACTCTGAGGGCAGTAGCGAGAATAGCGACAATGAACTGAGCTATTTTGTCACGGGATATTGATGAATAAATGCATGAAACCGAACTTATTAGTGCTTGAATGTTCAAACAAAAATCGTAATCGTACCAAAAGTAGAACAAACACAGATGCAGCAAGTACAATACACTTTTCT